CAAGACTTTTGACAGTCTCCCATAAAATCCTCATAGATAAGCTCAGGAAATGAGGATTAGAGGAATGGACAGCGAGATGGACCAAGAACTGGCTGAAGGCAGAGCTCAAAGAGTCATGATCAGGGCAGCACTGTCCAGCAGGAGGCCTGCAGTCGGTGATATTCCCAAGGGATCAATATTAGGACCAATCTTACTGAACTTACTTGTCAGTGACCTGGAGGAAGGGATCAAATGTACACTCAGCAGGTTTGCTGGTGACACCAAACTGGGGGCAGTGGCTGATCCACCTGAAAGCTCTGCTGCCGTTCAGTGGGACCTTGATCAGCTGGAGGGTTGGGCAGAGAGAAACCTGATGAGGCTCAACAAGGGCAAGTGCCAGGTCTTGCACCTGGGCAGGAACAGCCCCAAGTGCCAGCACAGGCTGGGGCTGACCTCCTGCAGAGCAGCTCTGTGGAAAAGGACCTGGGACTCCTGGTGGATCACAAGCTGTCCATGAGCCATCAGTGCCCCCGTGGCCAGGAGGACCAATGTCATCCTGGAGTGCCCTGGGAAGAGTGTGGCCAGCAGGTCGAGGGAGGTGATCCTCCCCCTCTACTGAGCCCTGGTGAGGCCACAGCTGGAGTGCTGTGTCCAGCTCTGGGCTCCCCAGCACAAGAGAGACAAGGAGCTACTGGAGAGGGTCCAGTGGAGAGCCACGAGGATGATCAGGGGTCTGGAGCTTCTCTCTCATGGGGATCTCATCAATAGATAGAAATATCTCAAAGATGGGTGTCAGGAGGATGGTGCCAGACTCTTTTCAGTAGTGCCCAGCAACTGGTTTTAGTACAGTGACCATAAACTAAAGCACAAGACATTCTACCTCAACATGAGGCAGAACTTATTTACACTGAGGGTGGCAGAGCATTGAAACAGCTGCCTGTGGAGGCTGTGGGGTCACCCTCTTTGGAGACACTCAAAATCCACCTGGATGCATTCTTGTGTCACCTGCTCTAGGTGACCCTGCTTTGGCAAGGGGCTTGGACTGGATGATCTTCAGCAGTCCTTTTCAACCCTAATGACTGAAAGGGTGATTCTGTGATTAAGAATCTGGTATCTTAAGTATTGCATATAAGCAGAGTGAGCAAAACAATATAATTTTATGCATATAGAAGAAATTTTATGGTAAGTTTATATCTATTTTTATTTTAACTGAAGAAATCTTGTGTGCATCTTCTTTGGATTTTATTGCAAAAATATTGTTGGTGGTGTCAAATTCTTCAGTGAATAATCTGTCTCTCTCAAATTATTCACAACAATCTAGGAAGATGCAGCTTCCTGAAGTCTTTGCTCAGACTCCTTTTTCCCTGTCCCATGGGTTTTCCCAGTGTCTTTCTCCCTGTCCCATGCTTTAGCAATCTGCTGCTATCAATTACATCCCAAGAGAACTCCTCAGGCTGGGTCTGAAATTGGATACACTGTCAATTAGGCAGTACATATGTGCCAGTATCATTCAGAGACAGAACCACTCATTGTGTCCTGTGTATGCACCAACAGCCAGGAGAATGTGGTCCAATACATGTGAAAGGACGCTCATCCTAGCTCCCCTGAAGACATAAAAAAGAATTCTAAAGTGTGAGCACCTTCATTTTGGCCGCCGTATAAAACTTAATGCTGTTCTTAGTTCTGTTGCCAGAACACAGAAAAGAAACAGAAATGTTAAGAGGAAAAAAATGCATGGAGAAACAAACAGTGCAACAGAGGTCTTGAAACATAGGGCAGTTGATGATGAAGAGTAACTATAGTCGGAGGTACAAAACTAAACAAACCTATTGCCTATTCTTGCATTTCATACCTTGTTAAGAGACCCTTGGTTTCACAATTAGAAATTTCCCATGAGGCCTGTATGTGATCTGCTTCCCTGAAACTCAGTAAAACAAAGACCACAGATGGCCTTCTTTGATAAGTACAATTATTGGAGAATAAACTGCATAGTGATAATTCATTAGTTCTGAGGTCTTCATATGGGGTCTGTGAAAGATATGTCTGGATACAAGTTTGTCTACATTGGACATGTTTTGAAAATTACAAGATATTGAATTGGATTGTATATATAAAATCCATTTAAATGATTTGATCATCAATCATGGTATGATGAGTCTATTTAGCTCAACAGACAGAAAGTAATTCAAGCACTGCCCAAGAATTATTTTTAGGCATCAACTGGCAGCATAGATAATGTCCATTAATGACTGAATAAACTCCAGCTTTGAAACAAATGAATACCATTTTACATTTGCATAGCACTCATCATCTATAGACCTGACAGTTTTAAAAGGATGGGCAGACATTCACAGTGACTATTTCTAGTGAAAACATAATGTCCTGAATAAACTGCTTCTATGAAGGCAAACTAAAGCCTGCTTGGAAGACACTGCTGCATATAGTTTTCAGATTTAATAACTAGAAAAACAGTGAAAACATGTTATGCTTATATGAAAGGGTGATCAGGCAGGAAAACAAGTTTTTAGAAAAGAAACAACATTGAGTTTTTTTGTAGAAAGCTGAGATTAGGTCTATTTAGAACATAATGATTATGTGCCCAGTCCAATGCCTGTAGTCAATTATTAGTCTATGCAGTCAATGTCACCACAAAGAGACTTGCAAATGCCTGGTTTTAACTTCAGAATGACTATCTTGAGCTTGAGCTCAGACAACAACTATCTTGTTGTCTGAGCTGAGATGGCTTCCTGTTATGCATGTAGGCTCTTGCCTAAGCAGAGAGGCTAAGGAGAGACCTGCTATGGTTATATAGGCAGCCACCTTCAAAACAGATTGTGGTAGTGTTTAGATACTGAACAAACCATGCCCAGATGTACAATGTCCCATATTTTACCCGCTTTGCCTCTTGGAAAGCAGCCACAGCATATTATTATAGGCATGAAGGAACAGTGCTAGACTTTCTTAGCAGAACCAGGCACACTGCTTTTTGATCTCATCAGATCTTCGGAAACACCATCCTAACCCCAGGAATTAGAACTGGCTTGACCTAGAAGTGAAGAGAGCTCTTTTATCAGCCTTTGGGTTGCAGAGCAGCTTGCAGAGTGACTTGCTGACACCACTTTGCTTCAGTCTTCTGAAGTCTTCTACTCTTCTGTAAATTGTGCATTTACATCTGAAAGTCTCAAAGGCCTCTCTTCTTGCTGTATGTTACAGGACAGAACATATGTTCTGTATGTACCAGAAGTGGATTCTGATCTCAAAGAGGTTTTTTTCATTGCCAGTGCACTACAATGTAACATTAGCAGCAAAACATCTCTACATATATATCAATAAGATGATTTTTATACATTCCTTGATAACAGTTACTCTGCAGGAATAACCCAGGCCAGTTTAGTTTACATAGTCTAGGAAGTCAAATCATTCCAGTTCTACAATTTACTAAATTTTTATCTGTGCATTATCAGAGACATCCTTAGATGACCTGCAAATATGTATCTTGCCTCAAAAAGCCAAATTTAATGTATGAAAGGCATTGCCAAATGTGTTAAGATTCTCTGCATCAACATAACACAATACAACACAACACAACACAATACAATATAATACAATATAATACATAGGTCTGAATATCAGCCCAGTCTTTGGGCTTTCCAGCAACTAAAACAGAGAGAAAAAGAAGGAAAACTCGAAATTTAATGTTCTTGTCATTGCTGAATAGTTTTGAGTGACTGTTACCAGTACATAGGTATTTTAGCTACATAAGTCAACTGCTTCAGTTGAAATTATTGGTGAACACAAATACGATGTGTGGATTCAAAGTGCAGCTCTAAGCAAGAAATTAATTCCCTGAAAATTAAAGTAATATCATACATCTAGTGCACATAATTTTTCAAGAATAATACAAACTTTAGAATCTACTGACAGAGTTTTGTAGAAACAGGAGTGTGAAGATTAGTGCACCTAAATGACAAATTATCTGAAGCAGAATTTCTTTTGATATTAGGATCCCTATTTGCAATGTTTATTGAAAATAACTTTTTCTTCTCCCAAAACTTTTCTCTATATCCTGTTCTAGTAAATTATTTTTTCTTACATGCTGCAAAGCATGATAATTATGATAATTGATAATTGTGCTAAAGATATTTCTATTTTAAGGCCTAGTAGACTTTAGGTATTTCTGTTGAGACTTTGATAGCTGGAAACATAAATATCTATTTTTAGCATGTTTTATTTAAATATTAATTTATCATTATAACTTTATAGGATGTCTGGAGTGGCTTTGGTGCCTGAAGAGGATGTGGCACTGTAGGATAATCTTTGAAAACCCAGGAAGCAGAGTTTCTTCACCTTGAGACTTTTTGCTCTGTGCTGGTGACATGTCTGCACTCCAGCTGCAAACCTGCTGTGAGGAAGATGGAGAGAGGGCTAGTGCTTCCTGATTGATTTCTTTGACTGTCTGAGCAGTAGTCTGTTAGTCATGCAGTCAGGTCATATCCCAAATCTGAGTCCAAAGATAGACTTAACCTTTGAAAATACAGTCTCCAGACTGAGCTTACTGTTTCAGCAAACTTTAATCAGCTTGCCTTTTCCTACTGTAATTAAAAAACACTGTCCCTGTTTTGACAGTCTTTGGCTGTATGGAGTGGAAAGTCAAAATAAACAATGGAGACCACACTGAACATTCTAATACACAACTTCAAATGTTTACTTAATTTCTCAGCCTAAACTAGACACCTTATCCAAACATTTCCTCCTGTTGACTCCTTCTGTCCTCCACAACACCCTGAGTTACTAGATTATAGATAGGAGCTTCTAATACACATAACTCAGATTGAAAGCAGAGTTTCATTAGCACAAACTTCCCTATCATAATTGTAATCTACAGTAAATGAATGCAATTAGCCCCACCAGCATCTCCCCCAAGCCCTCCTCTCCTCTGCCATAATCTCTTCTTGTATAAAGCTAGCATACTACATTCACTGCAATAGCAGAAGGTCTACAGGGTAGCCCTTTCCAGGATCATGTCACTGCTTCTCCTTCAGATGTTAGTACTTTCATGTCTTGGAGCCACAGAGCTACAGAGAAATTCACAGCAAAGGAGAAGCAGAAGACCATTTCAACACTTCCTCTACCTGAACAAAAATCTCTTTGAAAGCCAAAGTTCTCCTGAGCTGGTAAGTGAGAACCCAGTAGAAGTTGAAGAGACCCTGAAAGTACCAAGCTTTTTTGTATCAATTCCACAGACAGCATCTGGAAGTGAGAAGAAAGAGGATAAAAAAATGTCCAGATTCATACTTCCCAGTGCAGGACTCCATGCAGACCAAAACCTTAGAACGTGGGTTGCATCCAGAGAGACCTCTCCTGTGGAAAACCTCTCTCCACCCCATTATCCCAGCAAGAGAGAATCTGAATTTCCCTACAGAAAAGATGCCAAGAAATTCTGGGACCATTTCATGTTAAAGAAAAATTCAGCATCTGAAGAGGTTGTCCTGCCAATCAAGACCAATGAAATGCACCAAGAAAACTGCAGAACCCTGCCTTTCACCCAGGTAAGAACAAGCATTCAAGATCAACAACCACACCTTTCCCCCGGTCTCTTGTAATCAGCAACTAAAGGGACTTAGTCCTAGTCAAAGGTCTTCAGAACACTTGCTCAAAAGTGGCTGAAAGATTCTGATGAAAAAATTAGTCTGATGAGGCAAATAAACTGCAGCACTGGAAAGCCGCAGACTCAATTTTTATAGAGTTATTTATTATTTTTATGCACAGATATTTGGACATGGTCTAAGCAGGCAGGAAATTAATAAGTAATTATCCATTCAATGAATATACATCTCAACTGTTTGTAGATCTGAATAATGATTCTCTCTCTCTCTCTTTATATATATATATATACACATATATATATGTATAAATATACATGTGTGTACATATACAGACTCTCAGGACAAGTATTTACAGCAAAAGCTGGTTGTTCTCTTACACATAAGCAATGACTGTTTTATCTTGTGTTAATTAGAAAACTGATGCTTATGTCTAATTTTGTGTTAAGAATTTAAGAGAACTGGTAAGTTGTCTCATGTATAGATGAAGCCATTCTGTCACATTGTAACATTAAGACAAGCAAACAGTAAAGGTAAAAGTGCTGCATTCTTTGTAAATCACCATCAATTCTCAGTGTTCTGTAACCATGATCTGTCAAGGACTATGTCTTTTCACATCCAGAACTAAATTTATTTCACACAGACATATGTATATACAGATGTTGCCTAGAAACCTGTACTATTAAGTGCAGTAGTTTTTGTTTCCTTTTTTTTTTTTTTTTTTTTTTTTTTTTTTTTTTTTTTTTTTTTTTTTTTTCCTCATGCCTTCTAGCAAATTCTATGGGCCATTTCTGCATCAGAAACATTGCTTTCTGTTTCAGGGTGTTACTCACAACAGCTGTGAGAAGGTGACAGTACAGAATAATCTGTGTTTTGGAAAATGTAGTTCTTTTCATGTTCCTGGTTCAGAAGATCATCTTTATACCTTTTGTTCTCGTTGCCTGCCCAGCAAGTTCTCCATGAAGCGCCTGGACCTCAACTGCACTGATTCTGTTCCAGTGGTCAAAGAAATCATGATTGTAGAAGAGTGTAAATGTGAAAGTCGGAAGATTAAAGACCCTGTGATTGGATCTCTACTGTCAGACTTGTATGAAAATGTACATGAGCACAATTAACTTGTGCAAAGTACCTCTTAATTGATCATAAGAATTTACAATGAAAAAATTCAAACAAGTTGTCATCACTCTAGTACAAAAAACAATTAAAAATGTATATTTTCTACATCATCTCTGTTTCAATAATAACTTTACCTAAAGTGTAACAAATATTTCCTTGCAGCTGTTAAGGAAAATTAGGTGAAATTGTATGGCTTATGTGTAAAGGTCTTACTTTAACAAGAGAAAACTTTAAAAATCTTCCACCCTTCCTATCATTGTTTCTAGGCTGCTAGTAAACAAAGACTGAATTAACATGATTTATCTGCGTAAAACCTGAATATTGACTAGTTTTTCTTGCCTTTGCTTGTGAGGAGTGCCAATATAGCTGTATTAGCAACAAAAATGAGATTTTAGCCTGTTCCTGACAAAAACAGGTCTACTTTTACACCAAGATAATGGCTGGGGAGTGTAAAACATAAATGGACATGAGTTACATGTAAAGCTGTGACTAGTTAATGTCTGTGACTAGTTAAAGCTGTGACTAGTTGATCTCAGTTGGAGTTCAGTTCTCATTGAAAACTAATATACCAACAATTTACAACAATAGATAATGGGAAGAGGTATTTTGCCATAGAAATCACTTGCGCTCTTTTCCACATGCCTGCATTCACCATTATTTTTATTTAAAGTGTTGAACTGCAGAAGAAGAAAAAAAAAATAAAATTACATACTCCTACAGAAAACATCACAGACAAATACACTGTTATTATTTAAATTCACCAGTATTTAAATTATTTAAAGACAATGCACATTTTCTAGTCCGATAAATATTTACATTGTTACTGAATCTAAGATAAAATTTAAATAATATTCTCAGCTCTTAAACTAAAGCAAAAAAGGCATTTATGTGACTGCAAGTCTGAGAATGGCTTTATCATTATAGCAATACCTTAATAACTTTACAGGAAAAGCTGAGAGAGGCCTGCTAGGAAGCATTGGAGTCTACTGCTAGGCAGCACAGCACTAGCGATTATTAGCTGAACTGCTGGCTTTCTGGCTCTCTCCAGCTGCTTCTCCCTAGATTTCTCCTGCAAACCTGGCACACTAGATAGAGATCAGCTTCCAGCAGAAGAGTTCAGCATATCTCTATGCCATTTTTTTCAGTCCTCTGAAAATCTGCTCTCAGACCTGGGCCACTGTTGTTAAACTGTCCAAGCTCTTTTTTATGGTATTGGAAATCACTATTGACTTAGCATATTCAAGGTCAAATTCAAGGGCTGGGGTAAATGATTCCTTATATTTGAACTGCAATAGAATTAGAAGTATCTTAATGTCCTTTCAGAAAACATGCGCAGCATGGCTTTGGAGTCCAAGGCCCATGTTGAATATTTACTAAAAATTGCATCTGAATTATATTCTGATATTGGGTGTGAAGCTGTTTGCTTTTCAGGCCACTTGCAGTGAATGAACTAAAGACTGGTACATAGTTACCTTTCCTTACATATAAACCTGTTTTTAGATAATAAAAATTGAGTACTAAAACTCAAGCAAGTCTTCTCTCTATTACTTTGTATGAAGGACTGATGTCAAAACTATATATGGCTGTTTATATGCTATATATAATGCCATTCCAACTAACTAGCTATCAAGATGTTATAATCCCTGCATTGTGTGTGAAAATTAATGTATATTTTTAATCAAGCCTAAGGAAGAAAAGTACACACAGCATTAATGTTATAAACCTTTTTCTCTTTAGTGATTATTTTGTTTAATCTGAAAAAACCAAGTGTTCTGAGATGTTTTACTCAGAATTTTTGACACATGTTTTAAAGCTGTCTGAATATATAAAAATGTTCATCCACATTTTTTTCTGTTTTCTGAAATACAAGTATGTTTTTAGGTTTGCAGGCAACCACTTGAATGTAGGACCTACATACACTCCAAATAAAATCACATCAATTAAAAAGAAAAAATCTTTCAGTCTTGTAATTTTGACAAAACTGATGGATATAGTATGAGTTTATCATGAGGATGTCTGAATCAAAGCTATACTGTGGACTGAAAAGTATTCAGCCTAATTTTTAAAGCTTCTTCTCTGTGCTGAAGCATTACTGCAAAGAAAGCTATTCATGTAAGGATTTTGCAGGACAACATTCTTAGTGTGAATTTGCACAGCTTAAAAGTAGGTGAAAAGAGGTAACGACAGCTGTAGTAATTGCTAATTAGATTAGTGCTGTAGGTTTTTTGGATGCATGTTTAATTAACCCAGCAATGACTGGTTGCATGTAATTAGCACAGTATTTTGCAAAATCAATCAATGTGTTAATTGGATCAGATTTCTCAGCGTTTAAAAAATCCAGATTAGGAATATGTTTTATCCAGGCCCTAAAGCGATTTTTCTCTCTGGGTATAATGATTGCCTCTACAAGTAGAACACTGTGGATTAGAAAGGTGAGGAGTGTGATCCATATCACTATATGGATGCTTTCAGTAGTAACATTATAGCAACAAAAACTAGTTGCAACTGCTCAGAGCTTGCATGCATTCTGTAATGAAAGCTTTTCCAGTGTAGTTAAGACGACAATATAAGTGCTGCTAATGTGATCTATTATGGAGCACTCCTGCAAACCTACTTATAGAACAAAATATAGTTGCAGAGCTCTCTGAAAATTCTAATAAATTCCAAGCAGTTTCTACACTTCTGCCCTTTTATTTGTCCCACTGTATATTTTTCAAATGGGTGTGCTTTGTGTAGAAAATAACTGAAGTGCTGTTTTCTCCCTACTGCTTTAGCAAAATAAATCTTCAGGCTATTCCTTTAAGTGTGGATTTAATGCAACCAACTTTAATGCCTGTAAATACATCAAATACCAGGTTTACATCAAATTCTTATTGAATTCTGCACAACCATATATTTCAGGGAAAAGTCTCTGAAGCTGCACTTCATGCTGTGCTTGGTACTGTTTTCACTGCCTATGAAACATTCACAACTAACCCCATGGCTCTCAGCTGACCAGCTTTTACTGGCAGGTGGTGAAATTGCTTGCGGTGCTTTCTCCTAAATGTATGTACTCACTCGCTCCCTGCTGCAAGAGCAAAACAAGACTTACTCAGACAGAAGCTCTCTGCCAGCTGCATAATCATGTCTGGAATCATAATATGCTGAGTTGGAAGGGACCTCCAAGGATCATTGAGTCCAACTCCTGACCCTGCACAGGATAACCCCAAGAGTGTGCCTGAGAGTGTTGTCCAAACACTTCTGGAGCTGTCAGGCCGCTACTGTGACCATTTCCCTGGGGAGCTGTTCCAGTGCCCAACCACCTTCTGGGGGAAGAAACTTTTCCTAATTTTCCTAACCTCAACCTCCCCTCACACAGCTTCAGGCCATTGCCTTGGATCCTGTCAATGGTCACAACAGAGAAGAGTGTCTGTCCCTCCCCTTTCCTTCACAAGGAAGTTGTCTTCCAAACTGAGGTCTCCCATCAGTCTCCGAAGTCAGGCTGAACAGACAAGTGATCTCAGCTGTTTCTCATAAGGGCTCCTTCCCTCCAAGACTTTTCACCATTTTCACTGGTTTCTTTTGGATGCTCTCTAATAACTTAGTCTCTTTCTCATGTTGAGGTGACCAAAACTGCACCCAGAACTCGAAGTGAAGCTGTCCTGGCTCAGAGCAGAGCAGGACAATCTCCTCCCTTGCCTGGCTGGTGATGCTGATGCCCCCAGGACAGGATTGGCCCTCCTGGCTGCCAGGGCACTGCTGACTCACGTTCAGCTTTTCACTGACCAGAGCCCCCATGGCACTGCTTTCTCTTGTTGAACTTCATATGGTTGGTGATTGCCCAGACCCCTGATTTGTCAAGGCCTCTTTACAGGATCTCCCTGCCTTCAAGGGCATCAACTCCTCTTGGTTTTCTATCACCTGGGAACTTGGTTGCTATCCCTTCCAGTTGTGTATCCAAGTAATTAATGAAGATGTTGAAGAGTAAAGGGCCAAGGATGGAACCCAGCTAATGACAGGTCCCCAGTCCAATGTCACCTCATTCACTGTAACTCCTTGTGCCTATGAGCCAGCTGCTCACCCGTCACAGGATGTGCGTAATCAGCTGTGGGCTGGACATTTTGTCCAGAAGGATCCTATGAGAGACAGCATCAAAAGCTTTGCTGAAGCCTAAAAAGATTACATCAACTGTCTCTCCTTGATCACCTGCATGTGTTACCTTGTCACAAAAGGAAATCAAGTTTGATAAGCAGGACTGTCTTCTCATGAAGCCATGCTGGCTGGGACCAATGACTGTGTTGTCCTTCAGGTGTTCTTCAATACCTCCCAGAAAAATCACCATAACTTTACCAGACACTGAAGTGAGACTGACAGGACCCTGCAGTTTCCGTCTTCTGCAAGATAAGTTCTTTGCCCTCTCATTAAAAACCAGACTATGTTATCCAGCTTCCAGTCAGTTGGGACTGCTCTGGATTCCCAAGACCACTCAAAAATCATTGAAAGAGACTTTGCAATGAAATCAGCTAGTTCTGTGAGGATTCTCAGATGAATTCCATCTCATAGACTTGCAGGGATCCATCTGGAGCAGCAGATCCTGCGTAATGTACCCAGAACTATGTGCTGTGCCAGATGGTGCATTTTTAAGAGGTGTGGAACTGGGGCAATTTTGGGTCCTCCATCAGACAGTTTACCAGTAGAAACAGGAAACACTGGTAACAAATTATAAATATTTTACATTTTCTGTTGTGCTAAACCTAGCTCCTTGAATATCTGCTATGTAACAACTAACTTCAACTCACCTGAAATCATTCTCTGACAGCTGTGCACAGTCCTTCTGCTCAAGTGAGAAAGAATGGGGATGAAAAGATTCTGTAGCTGGCCCTAATACAAGAATATTGATAAAACTATCCTCATTGAGAACAAAACTATCCTGACTAGAGCACCTCAGGCTCCATGGCATCAGCAAACTGCATTTTCACTTCAAAATTAAAAAATTAACCAGAAGCTAAATACTACTACTACTACTACTAATGTTAATAATGATAATGGTAATGATAATAACACTTATAAAAATAATAATGATAATTACAACAATAATAAATAATAAAGAGCAAGCCTGATGTTTCTCTAAGGGCTTTTCTAAGGCATTTTCATTTTTCCTGGTTTAACTACTGCTTTTGTCAGACATTTAATCAGACATTCTGCTGGTGGCTGCAGCCTACAGTCAGGGTGTTCAAACTGAGCAGGCATGTACCTAAGCTACCTTCTGAACAAGGCTGTACCTGCTGAAGCTTTTTCAAACTCACCTCACTGCAGAGATGTGGAACATTCAGTCTGTTGCCCTGCCTGGTTTTTAGACAGCAACTCTTGGAGGAAGAGAGGCATTAGAAGAACTAATACTAGGACATCTGCAGCTGGACACTATCTGAGCAGAACTCCTCACACCACTGAAATGCCTGAGATGAAAATCAACTCCCTAAATTAGACTACTGCCTTGTCTACCTTAGTACTCTATTTAATCTATCTGGGCTGCAGGATCAGGAGATTTCGCCATGCTTACTATTGAGGCAGGCAGATTAGAAAACATACATTGTGTTTGATTTTTCCGGCTATTAAGAAAGAAAATGGAGCCTGAGACACAATTTCCTTTAACACCTACAGCCTCATCCTCAATATGTCACACTGTGCCTCGTGGGCCACAAGAGGTTTTGTTTCAGCATGCTGTTTCATTGACACAGACTTTTTGCTTCATGATGCAGATCTTCATGACATCAAGAATTCTGCTCCCATTCTGGAGTTTACAACTGTCTTCTATGTATGTCACCAAGGTTTACAAGAAAATGAGCAATGCAGCGCTGTTGCAGAAATCTGGTAGCAACAAATTTTAGAAGGACCCAAGAAACTGAATACTGCTGAGAAGGCTGACTTCTCAGCTCAGTATGTATCTGTGCACAGAAAAAGTCCCTTCTGAATGTTGGTCAAGGGGCACAGTTGGGCTAAAAATGAATCCTGGAAAACAGACTCAAGAAGCAGGGGCCTTGTAAGCTGTAAGAGTGCACACCTCTCTCTTGCATGTGTTCCCCATAACAGAGCCTCAGCTGTTACTGCACATGGCTTGATTTTAGCAGGCTGATTTAATATTTACAGAGTGCCAATAAAATTTATAGGATGACAGCTAGTGGCTCCTGTGGTAATTTATAAACAGCAACAACACAACACAGACATCAGAAAATCCAAGAGGAATTCTATGCCATTGTGCAATATTCAGCACTAAAGAAGGTGAATAATTTTGCAGTCTTCTAATGATCTTTCTGTAATACATCCATATTGGATTTTATTTAAATCCATATTATGCAAAGCTAGGACTCCCATAGGTATGTTTTTTTCACAGAGAATGTAGTTCACCACAAAGTCTCATTATCTATCTATCTGGATTTGATATTCTGGCAAAAAAGTCAGGTAGTATCTCTAAGCCAGGACTTTTCAGTAGGGAAGTCCAGCACACAACTGCCTGCTTTTCCTCCTGCAATGTGCTTTCTCAAAAAAAAGCATTAACAAAAGTGGATTGCTGTGCTATGACTAAGCCAGAAAAGACCACTGCCCTTGTTCCACAACCTATGTTTACATCACATTCCTGAATAAAAAAATATATAACCTGCCTGGCAGGACCACAGGTCTAAAAACTGGCCATTATCTGTGTACCACTGTAGAAATGCAAATGCTTGGTACTTAAATAGAAGATAATATTACTGACTGATTCTTTTTCATGCCATATGAAACCTTCATTGATCATACTATTATTCTTTTATTATGCTTCCATTTTGCTTCCCTAGAACATGGTTTCCTTTTAATTTCTTGATTGTTTTGGTTTTTTTTTTCCTTTGAAATTAATTCTTCAAATCAGTGAACAGTCTTCACAGCTTATTAGGTCTTTTACATATAGACATAAATATACATATAAAATTTGTCATGGAATTGTGCCAGAGGCTGGTTTTTGTTATTTTAAAATATTTATAAATGAACGACTTTTTTAGGTTTTTTTTCCCTTAGTAGATATATTAACAGTCCAATTAATAAGTCCATTATTTGCAGTGTTACCTACTCTTATTGATGTATATAAATTGTTCTGAAAGAACTGATCTCTGATTTTCCTGGAACATGCATCTTTCTCCTTCCAGACAACCTCCAGGTTCAGCTACAAATATTTATACTCAGGTTAGAGCAACTTCAGGTTGAAATGTTAACAATTGCCCTGTGTAATAGTGGGTTTTTTTAGGGTTTTTTTTGTTTGTTTTGTTGGTTTTGTTTGTTGTTGTTATTTTCCCCCCCAGAATAATCATGTTATGATTAAGTTTTAGGAAGAATATGATCAGTAATAAAGGTGAGTTTTCAACATTGGTAGTCTTTACAACACCCCTCTTCATCTATTATTGTGAAGGGAAACTGCTCCAGGGTAAGAGCCCATCAATTTGCAATGGGAACTATGCCACTCAGACAGATGGGGTACCTTTAGGTAGCCAAAAGATCATATATGTTCATCAGCAATGGGTGCACGAGTCATGATTCCCAGCTGGAAACACTGAAAATTTTGTCTGTTACAAGCTGTCTGTGGCTCTTACCCAAAGGTAATCCCTTGCAGGTGTGAATTATCTCTTTCAAATGAATATTGGCTTCTGTGGACAGGTAAGAGTACTATGTGAGCAAGAGGCACAGTGCAGCCGATGACCTGAATGTCATAAAAATTTTCTAACTGGTCTGAGCTGATTGAGGGGAGAGGCAAGGATGCAAAGCACAGAATTACAAGAGCAGTTCTTCATTCATAAACATGAAGTGTCCTATTCAAGTCAGGGCACACTGTGTTTATCAAATGGTTCTTATCCCTTTCATGCGTTCATATAAAACATGATTTGACAACTCACCACATAACCCACATTCATGTTGCTATTCTGGAAAACAGCAATTAATCTATGGTGTCCACCATCCAGCTGATTCTTTCTTGACTTAGGTGTCCCTGAAGCTGGTCTTGCTACAGCCACTTACGCCAGAAAACTGCAGGGTTTGGCCAGAGACGTTGAAAGTACTGGGATTCTGATGTTATCTTCATAGTCCAGAGGCATTTTTCTTCTTCATGTGTGGCTTTAAGATTCTGAGAGACAAGATACAGGATAAGAGGTGGGGGTTGTCCTCCTCTCTGCAGTGAGCTGGGGCCTTTCACTACCGTGAAACCGCGGTTATGTGGTACACAAAGTAAAGCAAGTCTCTCTTAAGGAAGCTAGTGTGAGTTTATACTATTAATTTAATACAACTTCAAGCTACAAGGCCTAGCTGGGCCAACTGCCAGATCCTCCTAGGAGCAGCCTGGAGACTGAGGCAGAAGCCTTGCCTGCAGGGCTGTTTTGACAAGGACTGTAAAGAGACGCTGGAAAAAGGAAGTACGGAAGAGAGCTCATGCTGAAGTCCGTGCTGGGGAACGAGCAAGTGAGAACGAGCTGAAGCCCTGGCGGGATGCGGCTCATCGGTCACACGGCTTTCCCACAGGGCAGGGCGGGGCAGCACACCCCTCGGCCGCTGCGTACACTGAGAGCCGAGCCGAGCCGAGCCGTGCCCGCCCGGACGCCCCGGTCCCCATCCCCGAGCAGCACGGGCGGCTCCGAGCGCGGCTCTGCCCCCGCCGCTCCCGCCCCGAGGGGCGCGGTCCCGCCCGCCGGGCGCCCGCAGCGCGCACGCGCGGCTGGAGCGGCGGAAGCCCACGGTTGGTTCCGCCGCGTGCCGGGGCGGGGGGCGGCGCGCGCGACCCCCGCGGGCGGGACGGGAGCGGCGCCGCGGGCGGGACGGGAGCGGGGCGGCCCCGGGCACGGCCCCGCCGCGGCGGGCTCCCTCCGTCCCTGCGCTCCCCTCCAGCATTGCTGCGGTCTGCAGGGAGCTGGGAGGGAAAGCCGGGCAGGCTTGCCGGGTACCTCCGCAGCTGTGCAATAAAGAATGGCGCTGTCGCTTTCGTGCAGGTCCGGGGCGCTGGTTGCCCCGTGGAGGAGGAGGAAGGTGTTCGCTGGTAGTGAGGTGGTGGTAGGAGAGGCACGAGGGTTTGATTGGTGTGTGTGCCAGCAGCACAAGGAAATGCGATGGCCTTGGCGTCCCTTGGGTTCGCACTTTGATTTCCCAGCTCTAGTAGTTAGTCCGATGAAATAGCAGGTCTTTGTTCACCTCAGACTGATGGTCCAAACAGCAATGTTCTTAAAGAAACGTACATTATCTGACTAAAAGTGTCTGGTCAGCAGTAGGTGAAGATAGTTTTGATGGACTTCCGATAATCAAGCCACATCCCTCTCCAAGCCCATTTAAAGGCGGTAGATGTTTACAGGTATGCTTTGCTAGATCCTATCAATGAAAAGTAACTAGGTGGGAATGCCTTGCCTACCTCAACAAACCTGTCAACAGCCACCTAACAACTGCTTTGTGCCAAGTCTCTGCTGCAACCATCTATTGTATGAACAATACTAGGTGTGGGGGGTTTTGTCATAGCACAGATATGCTGTTGCTAATGTCAACTGGCTATTCAGATGCCTATTCTGTTTTATTGAACAGAGGTGTTGCAAAAAGCTTAATGACAATTTTATTCTGATACTTGGTAATATAAGGCGACTTCTTTAAAATCTAGTTTGTAAAACGTTTAACTGATTGGTTCAAGTCCACCTTGGTTTATTTTTTTTTTTTTCTGTTAAAGTGTATTTTTTAGTATCAGTTAGCTTTGGCAATAATTCTTCAGATTTCAGGAAAGTCACTGGTGTAAAAATGCAGGTGGATCCAGAAATTGGGGAAGGCTGTTGATTGTTGCTGCCTTGCAACAAGTTATCACAAATACTGTGATATAGTTGCCTTTTAACTAGTTATCACAAATATTATGAGAAGTGTAGCTCTCTTATGTTTCTACTCTTTGATATTTTTTCTGACTTGCTTAGGATACAGCCTTTTTAGAAACTGGTGCTTTTCCCAGTCTCAAATTCTGTATTATTGAGCATAGTATTGTTCAGTTTGTGTGGAGTCTTAAAGTTATATTTCGTGGTGAACAATACAATAAGTTACTGATCTGTTCTGTTCTGCACTTGTTCAAGGATTTGTGAAAAATGTTCTGCAAGTCAGATTTACTTTTTGTAACAAGCAGGGCTACAGTGAGGCATAGTTCCTAGTTGTTTATCAGTGCAACACATCCATGAACATGCAAGAAACAGGATGTCCCCAGAGATGACTGTTATGCTTCTCAGAGTGAGAAACTGAGTACTGCTCATATTTGGTGTATTTCTGAAATATAGTTTTCTAAGTATGTTTTCAGACATTCTTGCTGCAAAATGGTATACCTTTTATTTTTCTAAGGTTGTCTTCAAATGAGTCTATTAAAGCAATTTATATTTCACCTTAACATTTCTGGTCAGCACAAAACTTTCTCATTTCTTGGACTTGACCTTCCACCTGCCTGACTCATTCTGTGGTCTCATTATTCTGTAGTTGTCGCACAAAAAGTCATATTGCAGGTGATTGTACTGATCAAAATACTGATACCATTGATGGAACTGTACAGAAAGAAAAGGGTTAGGAAAAATGCTATCCAGGCATTCTGTAATAAAATAAAGTTTTTTTGGAAGGTCAAGAAAGAAAGTAATGTAGGAAAGACACAGTCATGTTTTGGTGCAACTGAAGCTTTTCACAGACACAGCTACTGTTGGCTTTCAAATGACTTGTATTTGAGTTGCTTATTTAGAAGAAAGAGCTATAAATTAGAGCACAAGGGAAGAAAACCTCAAAAGCTCTGACATTAGTGCTCTGTATTTTCTCCTAAATTATTTAATTGGAAAATTGCTTGGAGAATTTAATTGGTTGTATGAGTCTTGAGTGTATACAGATATAAATAATTTAATTGTTTCTCTCCGTTTATTTGTTGCAAACCTTCTCATTGAGTGTTTTCTTTGCATATTGTAGTTTTTCTGATCAGAAAATACGAATTTGGAAGAACAAAATTATATGAGATCAGTTGTCTCTTTTTTTGGCACTGTGTTTGAAAGAGTAATACATTAACTTTGTTTGTGACTTAAATTTTAATCTAGTACTTCCTTCCTAGTTATCAGATTTTGAGCCTCTTATTTTTTCTTTATTCTTCACACTTTATATATTTATGAATGGTACATAGACCAAGAGAAAGAGGGGAAAAAATCTCTTTGCCAGAGTAAGTCAATATATTGACATAATTTATTTGCTATTACTGATGAAGTATAATGAAAAATATAAAACTTAATTTACCATTATAGGAAATGGGAAGCAAATATGTGTAACTGAAATACACTGGTAGTACTGCAGTTTTGCACAGACCTTTCTCTGAACTCTTACATCCTATTAAATATATATTAAAATTGTGAAGCAGCCTAGAACTGAGGAATGCTAGTTAGAATTTATGTGTCAGTTTGGAGACAGCTCTACGCATTAAGATGGGATTTGAAAAGCAGATAGAAAGTAACCTGTTATATGCTGCCTTTCAAACAAGTGATAATGGTTGTTTGTGTATCATGTTATTTTTTGTCTCTTTCAGAAGATGCAGAAGACAGATGAAAAATGACCCTGTCTTGAGAGTGAGGCCTGTATTTGCATAGTTCTTGCTAAATTCTGGAATTTGCTCTCCAAGGTATGGCTTTGAGCATGGCTTATGTTTGTTTTGGTTTTCTAATTATAAAAGTGCATATGGTCATGCAGGCAAAAGTAAGTTATTGAGGGATAAAAATTTGGAGCATATTTTCTTGATAGGCATTCTTACTGTTTTCTCCTGAATCCCTCTGAATACGTATTGCTCACACATTGTACATGTAGGTCATTCAGGAGCAAGTATTTCAGTAATTATATCTGTTTTGTTTGTTGAGCTGTTATTTCCCATTCTGAGGAAGTGCTGTGAAGTCATGGGATCTCTGCTGCTCTGGTTAGATAGAAAACAGATGGATTCCTCAGTGGTCAGCAGTGTTTCTAGCTACATTTGGGGTTTTTTTGCCTCTATATTTCTATTAGTCTGTGTGATTTTCCCTTTGTAAATTCATGGTGATTACTCCCAGTTGCTTTCTTGTCCTTCATGTGTTTGAAAATAGTTTCCAGGATTGTTTGCTGCACTTTCCCAGGAAGAAGGGTGAGACTAGTAGGCCTGTAGATGCCTGGCTCCTCCTTCTTGTCCTGGAAAACAGGATTTTCATTGATACTTGTTCACTTGAGTCCTCTGGAATGTCACCCATCAGCATAAAACTTCCAAACGCAGTTGAGAATGACTTCACAATGACAAACCCAATTCTCTCAGCACTCAGGCTGGCACCTCAGCAGGTTACATGGAAATGCTAGGTCCAGTTCACTTAAAAATTTGTTAATCTGATCCTCTCTTGCTCAGAGTAAGTCTTTTGTCCTCTACACTTTCCCACGCATCTCAGGGGCCTGCAATTCCAGGAGGCAGATCTTAGCCATGAAAGAGCAAGATAAACAAGGTGCTTTGACATTTTTGTATGATTTTGATACTTTCAGCAGCAGGTTGATGTTTCCTCACTAGCCTTCCTTATGCTGCTCCTGTACCTGTACAAATCTTTCCTGGAATTTCATATATCTCACCAGATTCAACTCTAGGACGATCTTGGTTTACCTAACTCTATCCTAGTGCTCCTTAGTGGTGTTCCCGTGTCAGTTTTATGCACACACTTGGTGCAGCCCCACTTCACCTTTGTTGGGTTGATTATAAGATCATTTTTCCACACCATCCTGCATCCTTTGCTTGCAAACTGTGACCACCACGTCCTTGCTCATTCAGAGGTCACCACCTTCCTCTGTCATCATTCCTTGTTTATGCATTCTCAAAGCTGATTAACCAGCCTCTTGGCAAAGATGCTTTTACCTCATGTAATTTCAGGTGGGTCTTGTTCCCCTTCACCCTCAGTTTTTGAGCCTCATTGAAGGTTCTATGGATGCACAACCACTTGCTCATTTGCAGGATCTGTCTGCTTCTCAAGTTCTCCCCCTTCATCAGCAGCATAAATGGGACACCACTTGGCTGCCAGACTTTGGCCAACACCCTGTTAACTGTGTAGTCATGCTTGGTAAACTCCTGTCTCCCCCAGCTGTAGCCATGGTGCCTGAATGGAAGAGCAGGTAATAGTCTGAGGGCCAGACTCCAGCCAGCCTCAGTAACACAGGACCCAGGCCCCTGTCAAGCAGCATACTTTACAGGTGACAGAGCCAGCAGAGGTGTCTTTGTCCCAGAATCACGGACCCACCATTGTTCCTTGCCCCAAGTATGTGTACTGCTGCAGGACTCAGGCACAGATGGCTCAGAGGCTTTCTTGGACAGAACTTCCTATCCATGTGTGCTGCCAGGGCTCAGAACCTGCTTTGTAGATCAGAGCTGCAGGTAGAACAAGAAATGTCCTCTTGGTGCTGGAGTTCAGAGGCTTGACATGCCCGACTTGACTGTCTGCTTCTCCTCGTGTGGTGGGGGTTTCTGTAACTGCATGAACTTGGTGGAGATCTGAATGATACTTGAATGGGAACACTGTTATGTTAGAAAATAGCAAACAAAGGTGATTAGAAATAACACAAAGTAGAAGTGTGGAAAAATGACACCTTGTTTGGGTCTGATTTTGATTAGACATCTAAAAGAGAAAGAAAAGAAGACAATGAAATTTGTGAATAGTATTTGTGAAAGTAAATTCTGAATGCAATTGAGGACAGTCAAATATGAAACAAGTAAGCAAAACCCTTGGAAACAGAGATGTTTGATAAACAATTTCAGTGCAACAAGTAGAAGCTGAAAGGAATGGAAAGAAATTATCAGAAATTGACAAGATTCCTGAAACCCAGGAATTATTGGGTAGGAGGGATTGGGATTTATGTGTGTGTTGCAATAATAAAATATGTGTATGAAAGTAGTCTGACAAAAAAAAAATAACAGTAGTAATCCTTTCCGTGATAGTTGTGCTGAATAGTGGCTAGGACTTAGTGCTGTGTTGCTATGATGATCGGTTTATGAAGCTCAGAAGTTCACATTAGTAGGACTGGGTGAGGTTTTTTCAGTCTGAAACTAACAGGAACCCAGCCCACTAAAGTGTAAGTATGGAAACCTTGATGTTTTAAATGTGATTAATAGAAGACTGTTTTTAATAGTCTTTGTGAAAGACGTCAGGGTAATGACTCCTTTCTCCATTGGTTTGCTGTTAATATCATGAAGGATGTTTTTTAAGCAAGGAAACCCTGAATTCTTAGTGAAGCTTTCGACTATTTTTGAATAAAAGCTTTTGGAAAACAACCATGAAATACAGGGGGAGACTGTGATAGGTGGGTGGGTTGAATCTTTGTGGAACATAAATAATTCCTTGTATTTCTTATTTGCTTTGCAACCTTTTTACTTTGATGGAAGAGTTTTCTCTTTTGCTGCCACCTGGCCGACACTTACTGCTTTATCTATTACTTAATAGTTTTCCCAGGTAGTAGTTTTGCTTGCATCTTGGTGCTGAATGTTACTTTTTAGCCAGATATAACTAATTAATGAAATCATAAAATGTTTTGCTACCTGGTGTTTAAAAAATGTATGTAAAATGTTTCTAAATTTTTATGTAATTCCTTAAATCAAAAGCTGACGGGTGTTTTTGTTTCTTACTTGAATGTATAAATTTGAGTGTATGAACCCTATAGGCTGCACTAGTTAATTTACTCTTTTTTAAAAAAATATTTTTATTATTTATCCCTTTAGGATTATCTTCCTGGGTCGTGACAATTTATTATCTGTTTGTGTTCAATGGGGCAACGAATTCACTTTGTGGTTGACCCTCAGGGTTGGTGCTGCTTGGGCCTAATTATCTTTGTCTGGCTGTACAATACAATCTTCATTCCAAAGGTCATCCTTTTTCCTCATTATGAAGAGGGAAATATTTCAGTTGTGGCAGTTTTGTGTAAGTAATTTTAACTTTTTTCTACTAATAAAATAATGTCTCTACTTAATATACATTAAAAAAAAATCCTGTCAGAAAATAAAAACTAGGGTGAAAGTAAAAACAAATAGTAAGATAAAGGGTAAGAGTAGTGGATGTGTCTGATATTTTCAGGTTCTAAGAAGCTCTGACACTTCATTTCCCAGGTGTTTCTGTAGAACTTGTTTTTGTGGAAACTGGTGAAAATCCTGAATGTAGCTTTCATGCCCTATAGTTAGAACATGTTGACAGCATTTCAGGTTCACATCTGTGAGTGCCTGTCAGAATTTGGTGTGACAGTAGTGATGACTGGCAGCAATCTAAATCTTGTTAACCTTGTCATATGTCCCTTTATGGGTTAGTTTTTACAAGTTTTGCTAATAGGTTTGCTGGGGAAAATCTTGAATTATGGCTGGAACAAACTTCAAGGTGAAGATGCACTATTGGGAATATCTTTCATATGGAGGTTTTGAGGTGTGGTATGTTGGTGCTTATGTGATAAGACGGTAGAGGAACTTCTTAAAAACAGTACTATGGTCATAGTGCTTTTTTCACTCTATTTACTGGGGAGTACTTAATGTTGTGTACTTAAGATCAAAAATATATCTGAAATGAGAAGGCTGAGTATTTTTCTGCTTAGTTCTGCAGCAGCTGTATTTTTTGGTATGGTGTGCTTTGCACATAGGAAAATGTCTAACAAATGCTTATTTATTTTTTTGTAGGTTATTACTTCTGCTCGTTGTTTTGTATAGCTTCATTATTTAGAGCCTCAGTAGCAGATCCAGGAAAACTACCTGAAAATCCAAAGATACCAATTACAGGTACATTAACTTGTTTCTATATAACTGACTGAAAGTTATTTTAATATCCTCAAAATAATTAGGAATAAATATAATGGAAACCATAAGCTGACCCTGCTGAATAAAGTTAGTATGTCACTGTTTTAAAGTCGTAAATTTCTAGCATTTTTCCTTGTGTAGTTTCAAAACTTCTTTTTCTTAAACTTGTATTCTACCAGAAAGTTCAGTTATGTAGGACTTTCTGCTAGGAAATTGTTCCACAGGAAGATTTTTATTTGCATTCTAGACTTTCAAACATAATGCATATGCTACTAACTTGATAATATTTAATTAAATATGTTTATAAATAGCTAGTTATTTTAATTCTATATCTTTTGTCTAAGTAAATTTATATGATGTTGAAAATGGTGGTGGAAAGTAGTCCTTTGCTGGTTTTTACCTGTGTATTTTCTGCTGTTTTTTTTCCAGAGTCTTATAATTTTATAGGCTGTTAACAAAAAAACCCAAACCATGGTGCTAGTTACACTGCATTTCTATAAAGTAGCAACTTAATAGAGCAAGTCCTTTCTGTCCTTGCAAATTTATCTCACAATTCCTGTATGGTATCCAGTGCTCCAGAAGTTGGAGGAAATTTAAAACCTTAATGATTCTCCACAGAGAAGAACAATATTTTTATGAACTGTTGGGAGCTATTATCTAATGCATAGGGTTTTTACTTAGGAGTTTAGACTGGAGTAGGGCTGTTGAACAGCATGAGCTTTGTCATATTAACAGATAACACTTCATGAATGAAGAAAATGTATCCCACCCAGTGAGGGTAAATTCTTCAGTCTTGTCTTCAAATGTGGTGAATGCCCAGAATAAAATTATGCTCTCTTTTCCAGATGTTACTGAAAGTCTAGGATGATGTGTTTGGAAACATGGTCATTTTAGCCTTAGTGCTGATGATATGATGTGCATGAAGTAGACAGCTGATTGTAGAAAGGGGTGTATCTCCCTGGGATTCACATGTGTCCCCACTAATTGCAGAAGTTCTCATGCCAGTGTTCTTTCTGCTTCTGGCAACTGATCCTTTGGTCTAGTAAAACATCAGGTGTTTCTGACTTGTGTTCTGGAGTCAGAGTTTTTGCTGCAGGAGGAGCAACATGGATTTTGCAGTCTGAGCTGGATAGTGTAGACATGCTAGTTACAGACAGTTACATTTATATTGGAGTTTTCATTTACCTTCAAAGTACCTGGAACAGTGCAAATCCCCTTTGTACATAAATGTTTTCTTCTAATTTAAGGTATCTTTTTGCATAGCTCTCCGAACTTTGCATGCTCCATTCAGTCCATACTGCAGTCATACTTAATAAGTACTTCCAAAGGTGAAATATTTCAGCTAGATCATGACTTTGCTATTTTGATTTGATGTGTATCAGGGGTATTGTACTTTTGGAGGTAGCATTTCAATTGTCTGGTATGCTCTAGGCTGACAGGAGGATACATTTTTACATAGTATAAATGGTGTTAAAAATGAGTTGGGGTGTTCCTGAACTCTGCTGGTAGCTACCCTATTAGTGAGTGACGCCTTTGTGACACTGGATTTATGTGAACAGATTGTAAATCAGTTTCCATCTGTCATTAGTACTAGTTTAATGATCTCAGATATTTGGTTTCTTTACTTCCAGTGTCCAAATGTTATTTTGCAGCAAGCAAGACCAGATTAGAGCTGCCTGCAGGTGGCTCAGAAGTGCTAAATATAACTTTATTTTGTTTACATTGGGACAGTGTTTTACAGTATAAAAATTCAGAATGTCCTACTGTAAATATTTTTTGTCCTTTTTTTGCCTTCTATCCCTGAGATACGAGAAATTTTTGTGCCTCAGAAAAGATTGTTTAAGTAGAAAAGATTTGAACAGTCAAAGTATTTCTAAGTTGTCCACCTGCTTTCCTTAAAGACTGAAAATCTATGCTTTTGTGACTGGAATTATTTCTGTGTTAATCTTATTGTTTCACATGTGAAGATGAAATTTTTAAGCATATAATTTGAATTTTCATTTTCAAAGAATTCCTCTAATTTGGTTGGTGCATTTTGAGATAAATAATTGCCAAGCTGCACAATAGTTCTCTTGGTACTTTCAGCTACTCAGTATCTCTGGAGATTAGCTTTTAAAGAATCTCACATTTGTAATTTAAAAATAGTATATATTTGTACAAGCCTCTCCTCTATATCTTTCTTTGGTTGTCTCATATGTAAAATTGCATGTGGTGATATGCATGTCATTAAAATGCTTTGAGATGGAAGATGCTCCTGAAGTGTTCACTGTGTATCATATTATAGCTAGCAGTAGTAGTATTTCCTCAGGAGGTTCTGGAATAGCAGTGAGATTGTATCTTGATTCTGTCTAGCAGATAATTTTTTCACAGTATATATGTAAGGGAATAATTGAATTGCAGTCTTCCTTGTCTGAGTCACAGCTTTTGTTCTGTAATAATTACTTTGTAGAAATTTATAGGAAGACAGGGCATTTTGGAGACAGAAACTGGCATGGAGTAGCAGTAATATCTTCCAGTTTAATTAAGATCACAGTGGGAAAAAGCTTTTTACGTGGTGCTTATCCTTCTCAGATCATAGTAAGATTTGTTTTTTTTAATTAGAGTTACAAGCATATGGATTTATTATGAGTATGCATTATTGAATTTAAATCTCTCTAACGTGTCTTTACATTTTCACCTAGAACGAGAACATTGGGAGTTATGTAACAAATGCAATATGATGAGACCAAAGCGATCACACCATTGCAGTCGCTGTGGACATTGCGTGAGGAGGATGGATCACCACTGTCCATGGTAAAACCAGGACATTTTCTTCTAATTATCTACTGTTGTTTTAGTGAATCATTCTGAAATTTGTGGTTTTGACTGCTGCTCATTCTTCTGTTTCTTTCCCAGTGGTACTTAATCATTTAGGCATTTAAAGCAAGGAAGTAATAAATTTCAGCTTTTCTGTATCTACCAGTAAAACTCAAAGTGAAAATAAACATTTCTGAGGTATAATTTTTACAAGACAAACTGCACAGGACAAAATTGATGTCAGGACTCCCTTATGTTGGTTTAGCCATTTTTCAAACTACCTTTTTTTGTCAAGTTTTCCTGCTTCAGAGACTAGTACTAGTATAGTGCTTCTGTCATGCTGGCTTAGGTTGGTACTATTGTCTGTGCCAATGCTTGTATGAAATTGCATTCATGTGACTTTTGATTTTGTACCTAATACAGATAGAATCCTTGTGTTTCCTTGACTCTTTTCATGTTGGAGTATGGAGGAGTTTCTGAATAGGGATGCCTGTATTGTCTTCTGTGCCTTTGGTTCATTTTTAAGTCATATTTCTTTGTTACTGGGGTGGCCTGTGATCACATTTTTTTTTAAAACATATGTTTGCATTTCCATTTTGTTTGTACTTCTGTAGTTCACAACCTGTGAAATTTATTGAGTAGCAGAAGATAAGACATAGTACTCTGAAATTTTGCAGACTTTCAAAAAACAATTTTATTACTAGAGTTTTACTTAAAGTTGCAGCAGTATCTATGTATAAAAATACAGAGAAGTGTGTCTCCTGTTCTAAGCAATGATCTCAGTGGCACAACGTAGGCTTTAAGTTGTGGTGCAAGGGATTCAGTTATTTGCTTCTTAAGCAATCATAAAGTCTTCTAGTCACAGTATCATTACTTTAGTATTTTTATTTTGGTTTTTATAAATGCATATTTTGTTTCTCTGCAGGATTAATAATTGTGTTGGTGAAGACAATCACTGGCTCTTTTTACAGCTGTGTTTCTACACTCAGATCCTTAGTTCCTATACACTGATACTTGACTTCTGCCATTACTACTACTTTTTGCCTCTGAAAAAAGAAAACTGGGTAAGAACCTGTTTTCTCTGTGAAGTGGACAAAGAGTATTCCAATGTAATTTGTTTTGGCATCTAGTTATTGTACATTTTTGATGGCTCAGGTTCACTCTCAATGAAGAGAGTTCAACTAGATGTATGTTATTAAGCAAACTGATTAATGGAAAGTAACAAAATATTTTTATGAAAGGGCATTTGATTTCTTTGTGTTAAAAACACAATGCTAGTTCTCTTAGGAATCTAGGAAAGGAGGGAAGAACCAGTTAGCTTTCCTTGGATGTGATTATTAGTACTGGAAAGACTTAAGGTAACTACTTTAGATGTATTCAAATTTACTTTTACATTTTCCAAAGTAGATTTATGCAGAATCTATAGCTACCATCCATACCATATTTTTAAAAGCTGATATTGCTTTTTTCAAGAAAGGAGAAAAACACATGGTCATTTTACAAGGGGAAAATATACATTGGTTTTGTAACAGTATTTTCTATTGCTTTGAAAAGGTTATGCGGGTTAAGGGAGAATTAAGTTTGGTTTGTTTCATGTGGACTATATATAAATAGTTACAGTATTTCCATGTCTTGTCATCAGTAAAAAGCAGTTGTATACACAGAGAAAGTGGATTTACTGACTGGACTAGAGTAAAAAATCAAGGACTTCCTTCCACTATGAAACTTACATTGTAAAGCTGCTTTCTGGTGCTCATTTATGCCTATTACCTGTAGTATTCAGAATATTGAAGAAGATTGCTTGAAAGTTGTTCAGTGCTTGAAAGTGCCAGAACAGCAAAGTTAGAACTCTTTCTTTATAAGAAAACCATTATGCTCTCTTGCTTATGAAGAACCATAAGAATTTCTAGCTTAAATCTGAAATGAACTTTGTATTTCTACTGGACTGTAACAAATACGAGTACACTAAAGAGAAGAACCTAGAAAGCAAGTTTAAAACATTTTCAAAATTCAGTAGAATTCCAAATGTCATAAGAAAGTAAGATAATCTCAGATACTGCACTCTAAATTTTGTTGAGATTTTTTCACTGAGGTGAAGAAGATACTGAAGTGCAGAAGATTTTTTAATTTTGTGTTGATGTGACACCCCAGCATGCTCTCTGCTGGTGATATCATACTCATCTTTCCAGGCTACTGGGACCCTTTATTTTGGATAAGGCAAGTCCCATTCTCCATTTTTTTGAACAACTAAAGTTTGTAATGTGGTTTTGTCCTACATTATATGAGAATTTCACTTTGTGAAAAATTCTGCTTCTGGAAAAGGATGGGGCATAGTCTTCTGAGTTTCTTATTTGTTCCTGTGTCAGTCTGAAGTGGATATGATGTTTCTATAAAAGTATATGTGAAGATTATATGGCAAAGGAGAGCTGAAAGTGTAGGAAGACTATATTACTTGGATAATCTAAAACTGATAAAAGTGTACATAGATACCAAGCTTTTATTATGTAGAACATTCCAAAGTTGAGGATTTTTTGTAACATGTTCTTGAAAATATTTGTATTCTAAGGAATTGAATTATTTTTTCCATCTACATCAATACTTCCATTTAAATCATTAAAGGGACTTTAAAATATATAACAGAAAATAATTTTCTGTCAACTTGGAACATCTTTCAATAGGCACTGAAACAGACTTGTTAGCCTCTAATAGTATAACGTTTGGTAGGATATTTCCTTTTTATTGTGAATATTCCCTGAATGTATTGCTTTATGTAATTACACTGTATGAGGTAACAATCCAAAGTTCTGTCCATTAGTGTTGCTTTTTAAAAGTAATATGAAAAGTAAGCAAATTATTTGCTTGAGGGTAGTTTGCGCAGAGAGGGACATGGAAATCCTGTTTACTTCAGATATTTTACAATACCTAAAGAGGTGATAATAAATAATCATTAATAATGATAATTCAACAAACAAGTATGAATATGTATAAAACTTGTTCTTGCCAGTAAAACTGGATTTATTTGAATTCGTTGGGAGAGAGACCTAATTTTAACACCTACTCCTTTAAGTAAGTATTAAGTTTTGACAGGTTAGAAGGCAGAATACATGTGCAATAATTATTTTAACCCATTTTAAAGTGTTGGCCTGAGGAGGGGATCAGGTTCCTGTATTTGGCTGCATAAGCTTACAGAGAACTGTGGAAGAAATCACTTACTTTGCTCTGTTTAGTTTTGTTTAGTTTTACCTGTATTATTTTTTTTGCTATATAAATTTCCATATGTGAACGCTTCAAATTAAACTCTTCCTTTTACAAAGTAGATCTGTGCTATAGTATACAGTATTCTGTGTCCCAAAGAGTAAAATATGTTTATACAATATAGAAAAACAATAGAGCAGGTCTGGGCTGTTCAGACCTTTGTTAAGTACAGTGTAACACTGAATAGTATTTAGCTTTCTCAGTTTTTCAGCTGCAGAACAGGAGAGCACAGAAGTAGAGAAAACTAAAATAGTTGGCATGCTTAGTCAATGTATCTGCCTGGAAGGTGACACCAGAGTTCCATGAAGCTGATTTTTTTAAGTGTTGCTAAGGATATGATGCTGTATAGATTTGTGCCACAGAATATTTGTCCAAACTATATCTTTTTGACACCAAATGAGCAGGACTGATTAAAAGATTGGCTTAGTATAGTAGTTAGCGTTTTAGGCAAGCATACTGCAAGATTCTTTTTATCTCCTTTATATCAATTAAAGCTGAGGTGGCACAGCATTCCAGAGAGTGCTGTACCTTCAGCCTTTCACAAAAGCGCTGTTCTTTGTTGAAATTTTGGCTGTGACTGAGTGCATACATTTTCTGAATTGACAGGAGCTAGTGTTTAGAACAGATTCAAAGAACTGTATTATTTTTTTTCTAAACAGCCATCTGGAATAAGCTTATTCTTGCTCATTAAAATACTTGTGAATTTTTTGGCAGTGTGCCTTCATCTAAATTTTTATTTTTCAGATATAAAATAGTATAAAATGCAGAAGCTGTAGAATTAAAATTGCTTTTACTGCTATTGTGAAATAATAATTTTGTTACAGTACTGATTAATGCATTATGCAAATTTGACCAGCATGTTAGTATCTCTTTCTGAATTAAAACGTGTGGTTTTATTTTTTAAGGGTCAAGAAAGAAAACCCCAAAAAATTTTAATTAACTGTTCTGAGTTAAGGGTGATAGCTCTAAAGGTGGTGGATGAAGCTGTTTCTGTAGAGATGCAAACTTTCACCTCTTACTGCAGAAAGTTGCTTCATAGTAGTCTTGGTCCTTGTAAGTGATACACTGCCAGAAAGTTAGGGTATGGTTGTTACTTCTGTTTGTCCAGCAGGAGGAGTGCAATTACTGCTAGAAATAAACCAGATCATAATTAAATTGATTATGTGGGATGATAGCACAAGAAAAATACATTGTTTGAATAAAATCAGCATATTAGTTCTTCTGCAAGCTTTGGTGATTTTCAGAGGTTAACACAGGAATATTGTTAATTTTACGTCTTTATGAAAAAATGTCAGGAAGCCTGTATCTTTTAGGAACGAGTCAATCTCGTGAATAGTGAGATGAGAAGAATAAATACTAGATTTATCACCACATAGTTGTTCTCTCTGTGGCTGTGCTGGCACAGATTCTGGATACAGCTGGTTAAATTGCAAAACTAAATGCTTTGGCAGTATATTTTACCTTATTTATAGAAGGCTTTAATCTTTTAAGCAAAAGGAATTCTGCTGATATATTCTGTTTGCTAGAAATGTTGCTGCAATAATTGTCAGCCAAACCTCCTGACATACAAAACTTAGGACCCTTTGTTATTTTGTTCCTATTTCTGCAATTAGAAATCATTGCTATTGACTTTGAAAAATGATTTTTTGCAGTAATATTATGCACTGACTAATAATAATGAAAATCTGGAAATATGTATTATCCAACATTTACATTTATACTGTAAAGAGAGTCTAAAAGGAAACTTTTTATCTGAGAAGCACAAAATTATGTACAGGATGGGAAAGTTTTTTAAAAAATGGAAACATCAAAATTTTCCTTCTCAGTGTTTTGCAAAACCAACCCAACCTTGCTCTCTTACAGTATAGTTATAAGGACAGTACAATAATATTAAGTCCTTCCTCTTTCTTCCTACAAAACCTGCAGTCTGTATTTTTTAGCTTGCTTTTTGGAAAGCCCCTCTTTATTTTTGTATTATACACTGTTTTTGCAATAGCCAAGTTTGACTTCATCAGCTGCCTGGGGTAGACATCACAGGCATTTATAACTGAACACAGACAAGGACGTTATCATGTGTTACACAAAATATTGTTCCCCAAGAAAGGAAGAGGTCTCTTTATATATTTTCTCGTATACTGATCTCTATATTAATCTTGTATATTAATCTCACATCTCTAATATGTGTGTCATATTTCAGTAAAGAATAAAGATTAAATAAATTAATCTTCCATTGTAAATTAAAAATTATGAAGATACAATAGTCCTATGTTTCCTGCCAAAAGCTCTGTCCTCAGTACTGTGTGCTGCTTTAAAGGAGTACTATAGATCCTTGGAAACAATACCACAATAATGCACAGGGCAGGGACTTGTTTTATGTTTTTGAGCTTTTTTTTAATTGTTATTGTAAGTAGATAGACTACAATCTAGGGCTGAACCCATTGTGGTTTTTGACCTTTCTCCTGTATGATAGCATGAAGCTGTGGTAGCTGTTGACCTAGTCAGTGGTAGCATTCTTCTGTAGTGGTTGATGCTCATAAATGAAGATGAGGCATGTATTCTGCTATAGGTTTGAGGAAGTCTATTGTTTATCTGTTCTGGAGACTTCTTTCTATAGAGTATTTTAGTATTGCCTATTGACATAAAGATACCAGATCTCATGGTTTGTAGTCCATTTTTCAGCATAATCCTATAGACCTACACATGTTGTGTGACAAATACTTATTGTTCACATTTCTATGCATTTTTATGGGTAACTAAGAATCCTTGCAGTTTGACTGGATAGATAGAAATAGGAGCTAAATGGAATTTAGAAACCTTTAGAACAGACAGCAGCGAAGAGGGAGTATACATAGGTGTGGTGTAGGAATTGCTAAGTAGAAAGGCAGTGGCAGCAACCCATGTGAACGTGAAGTTCTGACAGACCAGTTAGGCTGTGGAGCTGACATAAAGAAAATTAGAAAGAGGCTACCTGAAGGAAAGCTCTCGTGTTGTAAAGAATATTCATTCAACATCTGTGCCAAGGCCCTATATGACAGCTTGGCACAATGTAAAAAAATCTGTTCTGGAACAAAACTATTGTGCCATGATAGCTGAGTGTTCATGCACTGGTGATGTCAGGTAATCCGTGTGTATGCTTTGTGGTTCAGTCTGTATAGTTCTTTCTGTTAGCAAAAGTAGCCTGCACCCCAAAATCCAAAATCACACTAACTCAGTAGTCACACTGCACTGAGACTAGTGGTATTTGAACAAGAGATTCTGTTCAAAACACATTGAAAGAGGGATTGGTTAGTTATTGAGAAGTTTTGATTGATTATAGTTTTGATTGATTTTCTCAGCTGAAAAAAAGTTCTTGTCAGCTTTGAAAAGGAATAATAAAAGCAAATTGCATTGAGCTTTTATGCAAAGCTACAGCAGCCTAAATATATTATTATAATCATTATTATAATTTTTATTACTATTACTATATTTTTAAAATGGTCTTTTCTTCTGTTTTCATGATGTTAAACGTTTCTATTCCCATGTAGAATTGTGTAATTCATTATATTATTAAAGTCTGTTCACCAAAAACCTCAGTTACTGCATATATTTTGGTTTTCTATAGAAAAATATTGTTCTGTCTGTACAGATTTGAGGGCCCAGTATTGATTTCCATTTCAGAATTGCTTAGGAATTCATTTGGTAGGGATGTGGAAAAAGAGAGAGGGCATATGGGAGGAATAGAGTATGGACAGGGAATGCAGGGATGCAACAAGAAAAGGCAAGGCCCATTGGAATTAAGCCTATAGAGGAATATCAAGGACCACAAGAAAGACATCTACATATCCATGAGCCATCAGTGCCCCCGTGGCCAGGAGGGCCAATGTCATCCTGGAGTGCACTGGGAAGAGTGTGGCCAGCAGGTCGAGGGAGGTGATCCTCCCCCTCTACTGAGCCCTGGTGAGGCCACAGCTGGAGTGCTCTGTCCAGCTCGGGGCTCCCCAGCACAAGAGAGACAAGGAGCTACTGGAGAGGGTCCAGTGGAGAGCCACGAGGATGATCAGGGGTCTGGAGCTTCTCTCTCATGAGGAGAGACTCTGGGAGCTGGGACTGTTTGGTCTGGAGAAGACTGAGAGGGGATCTCACCAATAGATAGAAATATCTCAAAGATGGGTGTCAGGAGGATGGTGCCAGACTCTTTTCAGTGGTGCCCAGCAACTGGTTTTAGTACAGTGACCATAAACTAAAGCACAAGACATTCTACCTCAACATGAGGCAGAACTTATTTACACTGAGGGTGGCAGAGCATTGAAACAGCTGCCTGTGGAGGCTGTGGGGTCATCCTCTCTGACTCCAGTAAGGATGTCTGGAAATCCACCTGGATGCATTCTTGTGTCACCTACTCTAGGTGACCCTACTTTGGCAAGGGGCTTGGACTGGATGATCTCCGCAAGTCCTTTTCAACCCTAATGATTCTATGATTCAATGAACTGGGTTTGTTCATCTTGAAAAGTTAAGGCTTCCATTATCTGAGGGGATCCCACAAGAAAGATAATGTGCTTCTACTTACAGGAGCATGTAGTGGCAGGACAAGGGGGGATGGCCTCAAACTGACAGAGTAGGTTTAGATAACATATTAAGAAGATTTTCTTCACTCAGAGGCTCAGGAGGCACTGGAAGAAATTACCTAGAGAATTTTTGGTTGCCCTGTCCCTGGAAGTGTTTAAGGCCAAATGTAATGGAGATTTGAGCAACTTTCTGTAGTGAAGTGTCCCTTCCACAGCAGGGAGGTTGGGACTAGGGTGTCCTTAAGGTTCTTTCCAGTGCAGACCATTCTGTGATTCTATGATTCTGTGTTCTTTAGTGTTAAAAGGTCTATCTACTTTATCTCTAGTGTAATGGTATTTTTAAAGGTAACTCTAGTTTAACGTGGTTTAAAAGAGTCAGAAGAAAATGCAACTTCTCTTGTGTATTCTAGGGTTTTCTTTTGTCATGTGTTTGGTGGTGTATTTTTTTCAGGCTGAAAATGGTGTTCCAGAGAAGGAACTCTTGTAAATGAAAGTTGCAGGAGATGCTAATGAGGGAGTGTCATGCTAGATTCAGAATTTAACTTTGCTGTTGGCACTCTTATATTTTATTGTTTTCTGTGAAGTTGAGCTTGAATACATCATAGCATTTCAAATATAATAAAGCATAACAATGATGATATGAAGGAGTATTTTAAAATTAGTAGAAGGTGTGTCTTACCTTGCTTTTTTTTAAAGCTGTTATTAGCTAATGGAAAGGGAAATAAAGGATAGTATGACTGCTTTTATTTTGAGTTGATTTATCTTTGAATTAACTCATTAAATGAGTAAGAAGCATTAAAAGAAATGGAAATTAATCTATTTTCTACAGTGTCAAGAAAGGCCAGTGTAAACAAGTGAGGGGAGAGGGGATGCATCATTACAATAGTTCAGAAAAGACTGTTGGGGATTGTTTTCTGGTTTAGCTGTTTAACTAGTGATTTCTAGTTGTTCACTAAATACTTACTTTCTTTACAGCTTTAATAAGTAGTTTAAACTTTTTTTCTGGGTTTATATGTGGAACTTTCATGGAAATTTTTTAAATGAAAAAATCAACTTTTTTTTTTTTGTTTTTTTTTGCTTAACATAATTTGTGTTAACTATTCTCTGTTTAATTAAAACCCAGTATTCTGCTTCCTCAAGTTCTAGTGCTTGAACATAAACAGTGTTGGGGGGGGGAGGGGGGGTGGGGGCTTATTGTTGTTTTTTGTTGTTTTGTTGATTGGTTGAGGGATTTTTTTGGTTGTTTTTTTTATTCAATTCTCTTATATATTCTGGTTGTAATATAAAGTTTACTTGGAAGCTTTTAATATTTTCCTGCCATGGTCTAGCTTTACTAAGTGGAAAAACAGATGAGAATATTCAAATGAAAGCCTTAAGAACATAATTGTAACTTAAAAATAAGAGAATATGGTCTGAAGTCACAGTGCACCTAATGTAACACCACCTTATTTTTATCTGTGATAAAAATAAGGTGCTCTATCCTTTTAAGACATTACATAACATTCTGTAATGCTTGTCTTGTTTTCTGGTGGTTGAGTACAGACTTTCCACTGCAGATATCAAATACATCCTTATTTTTGTGTGCCCTGAAGCATCTGTACTGTTCACCCTTATCCAAAGTGGCAGTAATCCTCTCAAGGCCAAAATTTAAAAGTTGGAGATAAGTTTATATTTGATAATAGACAGCACTACAGTAAGAACAATTCAGTATGGGTACTTGAACTTTGTAGGTACAATTTTCAAGTGTCAATCTTGCATTGTTTATTTTCTTTCAGAAGAGGTGATGTAAAAATGAAATGTGCTGTGCCTAGTGGCTGAGGTATAATAAATCAGACCATTTAACTGAGTAGTTTTACTGTATTATATAGTTTGTGTGTAATAGTCTGGCACAGTTTGAGATGGAAGATTTAGAAATAATCCATTTGAGCTTGACCTATTTCCAAAACCTCAACTACTTGAAGGAGTTTTTTTAACAGTCTGGCAATATAAAACCTCAACTGGTAACATGTGTAAAGAATATATTATTAGTTCCTGTTTTTAAAACATAAATAAATATACCAGCGATGTGCAATGTAGCTCAGAATTCAATATTTGCCTTCAGCTTTAAGGCTTTGAGAGCACCTCTTACAGCTCTTATCTGCTATTTTCAGTTGGTTCAAAGACTTTAATTAATTTGTAACTGCTAAAGTCTCTCTTCTTTCTATCTTGTTCTAGGATGTGTTTGTATTTAGACATGAACTTGCTCTCCTAAGAATATCTGCCTTCATGGGTCTAATAATATTAGGTGGAATAAGTCGACTCTTTTACACTCAGCTAGTGGGTATTTTCACTGTAAGTATCTAATTTTAGAAGTATATATTACTTTTATTTTCAGTACAGTTAGTCAAAACAGAAAAGCAGATTGCATTTAAGGGAAGACTATGAGGCACTTGTTTGATACATGGTCTGTCAAGCCTTTGGACACTAGTGAAAACTAAGAAGCTTCCTAACAAACAAGTGTCTAATAATTACACTTTCAAGAAAGTTTCCTGATTTGTATTAGTAAAATAGACTCATACCATATCCTGGCATTACACAGTGTACAAGATATGTAGCTGATTCTTGTTTTTATTTTAAACTCTTGTGAAGCCTTGTCAAAATTTATGTTACAGTGAGGCTAACGGATAAATCAAATTTTGAGAACACAGCATCAGCATCTTTGTTAAGTATTTTGATAAATATGCTTATGTTCATCTCTTTATTTGCTAAACTGTGGAATATAAGTGTGCTGTTTACAGTCCAGATGGGTATTCTGCATTTAGATGTACAGAAAAAAAAAAAATCCTCTGCATGGAAAAAAAAATTCAGTTAAATGAATTTGATAATGTAGTAATACTTACAGTATTACTTATAGTAATACTTACAAGAAACAACCTTTTTTTGGTGTAACATCCTGTTCTGTACATTAGAATTTAATAGCTGACAGCAAATTTTTGAAATTATCTTGAGAATCCATACAAATGTTTAAAATATTGTTCAACATGACAGAGAGAGTGCATTAGTTGGCTATATACATGTTGAAAGAGTCTGTGATGTAGCCTGCTGAACTTTTTTTAAAGACAATAATGTACAAGATGGCAGCATCTTTTTGGCTACAATGTTGGAGATCTGCCTGAGATTTTACTTTGGAATTATGGTTTGCACAGTATTAACTTTTGTAAGTACATAATGGAAAACCTAACTGTATAGTGTAATTCTTTTGTATGTAATAAAGGAAAAAACTACAGTGTAGTTTTAAATTTTTAGATAAAGCAATGATATGCTTTTTGGTTTCACCTTTTCATATTTACTGCCTTTTGCTTTTCCTGTCATGGTAGTTATACTATCTATTATTATTACAATTATTACTGGCTATTATTACTACCATTTTCCAGCTACTATACTATATTATGTTCTACATGTACTCTTAACCTGCAGGTCAACAGATTTACCTTTGTGCACCTTTACTGTGTGGCTGATTTCTGTTCCAGGGTCTTGCTGACATGTTTTCTCTTCTCTGTTTAAATGTTGCCTTCATGTCTGCATGATCTAGAGCTGGGATGTTTTTCTGGACCACCACTATGGTGGCTAACTGGCTGATGTGGTGAATTCTGCTCACCTGTAACAGGTGAGACAGAGACAGAAACTTAGTGAGCCTAATTGTTCAGATAATGAAATATGAATATTGTTTTAGTTATCTATATATACTATGAGAAAGATATATCTATGAGATATATCTATCTATCTGATCAGTACTACACTAAACCACAGAAAGGATAATGAAGAAAACAAGGAACCTGGACCCTAAGTATGATTTTGTTCTATATGCTGCCAGAAGCTGGACTAAATTTTAGCAGCAGACCATCAGCATCCATTCAGGTACTATTACTGGATGTGAAATAAGACCTCTCAGACTGAACCTGTTTCTGTCAGATATACCTGAAATCTGGGCTGTTTCTGTTCTGACACAGGATACCAATTGCACTGCCACTGTAACAGGCACAAATGCCCAGTTGTAAGTTTGCTGTCCTGAGCCTTAACACTTTCAGGCTGCTGCCACCACTGCACTCTATTTATAAACTGCTGCCAAGTCTTTTTGTTTCTGTCAGTTGTAGTATATTGTGAAGCACATCCTATTCACTTACAGAGCTGGCAGCTACACTAGAACAGGTGTGGGGTAATAACATTTTTTACTCCAGTTTTTCTGCTGAAATCATAATCGCTGAGCTGCAGCATGCCTGGACACTCTTCTGTTGTCTTTGCCAAGCTTTGTAAAGCAAACGTGCTACAGTAATTGTGGATGTGGATGGTCTATGAGAGATAGATGCTAAAAAGTACAGGTCTTTATTAGGGCCTCTCACTGCGCCCTACCTATCCCCCAAAAGTAGAGGGACTACTGTCACATGGACAAGTTTCTAGGCTTGATGGGATTGCTGGGGAAGTAGTAAGCCATTACTGGTGTATCTCCAATCATTAATTCATTCACATCATGTGGATGGTGTTGCATTGACTCACTGAAGAATGTAGGTCATGTAGTCCATCCCCCACTCAGAGCATTTCATAGCAGCAGCACAATTGTCTTCTCCCTTTTCATTCCTTTCTTTGTAAATACAGAATTAGGAAGAATAAATATACAGTCATTTTGAGGAAATATGTTTGGCAACAATCAGTCAGACTTCAAACAAACAAAGCAAGTGTGTTTGTTGCAGTTGTGCTTGGTCTATAAGTGGTGTCAGAAATTTTTTTGGTGCAAATGTTTTTTGCTTGCCGGCACTGTAGCGTTGAGAATTGCTTCCTAGAAAGCACTGAAGCTTTGCTGGAAAGGACAGAGGAGAGGGCAGCAGGTGAGTTACTATTTTCTCTGCAGGCTCCCAAAATACATGCCTGTGGTGGTAAAGCAGCAAAACTGGTATACTTACCCAGAAGCTGAGCGCATTGAGTATGCAAGACGTTCAAGTGCTGTAGAAGCAATGAACCATGAACACAGATGTTTCTGCTATGTTCTGTGCTGGAGTTCAGCATTTAGCCTTCCTGTGTAAATTAAGTAAATAGTATCTGAAAAGAGTTCTATATTAAATACAGAATTAGTGATGAAATGAACTTAGTATAAAGTGTAGATCAAAACTTGATAGCAGAACACAATCGTTAAAGTGTGATAGTGCAGAAAATGACCATGAAACAAACTTAAGATGCTTCCAAGTATGGATATACAGTTAAAGCATTCATGTCATATGAATTGCTCCATGGCTATTCTTGGAAGTATTAATTTCAATGATTGCTGAACCTGCCTAGAGACGTGTGCAAGAGACAAGAGCATGGATCTTTTGAAAGAGGCAAACTCTTGTGCTTGCATGGGAAAGCAGGTAATACACGTTCTTGTAGTTCATGCTCTTGTGCCTCTTTTTGCAGTTTAACATCTACCAAGATTAATTCCACAGCTCCTGGGAAAAAAAGCTGGTTTTAAATAGTAGAGACAATAAGTGTTGCAGCTCTGTGATCTAAAGTTTGTTGAATGAGTCCAGCAGGTTAACGTTCATTGGTGTTTAACCTTGCAACTTCTGCAAAAACTTTTGGAAAGAAAGATAAATCTAAGATTAATCAAACTTTAACCCTTTTGTAACAAGACTTCCTGATTCTCCATAAGGTAAACTTGCTTGACTATCATTACATAATATTCCAGAAATGAAGCCAATCGTTTGTGTTGTGTCTTAGAACATACAGCTAGGGCCCATTTTTTCAAGGAATATTGGATATGCTTATTAAAAAATTCCAGATTCTTGATTTATATTTACATAGGTTTATCCTTTTGGTAAAGCACCAAGATAGATAAAGTTTAATGTATAATAAATTTGCATGTGATCTTTGTGTACATTTTTAGAAGCAGAGTTACACTCCACTAGAATCTAGCAGTAAGTGCTAGATTGACAAACCATAAGAATGAGCTGAAATTTTTCAAAGGTTTTCAGAGGATTGGCATTTTCTCCTCTTTGATATATATTTTCAGAAGTCATAAAATATCTGGCTGAATGCATAAATGTCCTCAATCATGTTTTTCTGGAACAGGGCAGTAGCTAAAAACAGAAAAGCAAAGCAGCACAGGATGAAGTGAAGGCGAAGTATTCTGCCATGTGTGCTGGCAGAATCCAGGTTTGTTGCACAGTTGACTGATCTGTGCCTGTCATTGCGTAACTGTCATTGGTTATAACAGTAGATCAATTTTTAAAAAGGTCTTTAAGAAAAATATGCATATATTCTCCATATATGTGTGTTCTGCAGTTATCCTGCTTCATGTGTGTTCAGTAAACGGAAAAAATGTGCTCTCTAGTAAAAATGAAAACTTCGTGAGCTGTATGCTAAAATTTGTCTCCTACAGGGAGAATGTTCTTGAGGCTCTAGTGCTTGATAAGGTGATTAATAGTCTAAGTACCTACCATACAGTAATTTCTCCTAGTACATTTGCCACCACTGTGATTGCAGTATCACTGTTAGAGTATCATTAGCACAAGGCTATTCATAACTCATTTGGAGGTCCAGGAAGCCAAAGAGCAAAGGAGGTGACTTCCTACAATGAGAGGAGAACAGCTGGCTGGCAAAAACTGTCCTTAGAGGAACTTTTGACATGAATTGTTCTGATGAAGAGGGGAGCAGCTGAGGTGGCCTCTGTATACAGGATTAGTGCTTTCTCCCTAGAAACTAGCATATGTGAAACACACTTCTATCAGAAGGGGCACATGGCTCATTTCTTCCTCCTTCCCCAGTTGCTTTTTCTGAGCTTTATTTGCCTCTAATTTTGTTATCATCCTGAATTTGCATACTTCTTCTAGCATGTATTTTACATTACTCTCAGGGAAGTTTTATTTGGATACTTTGAAAATAAAAATATCTAGGTTATCTCTAATTCATAAGCCTCTGAAATAGAGAGAAATTTAAAATCCTAATTTAGGAACTCTAGGACTCTTAAGAAGATACTCCTCATAAAATCTCATCAACAATTAGTATTCTCACTTAAAATATTCAAGTTTTTAGAGAACTGGATGGAAAAAATTGCTTTCACCCATTAATTAAAACATGGGTTTTAATTTCCAAAAGGTAATTTCCAAAATGATTATGCATTTATGTTGAAGGCCAGCCTGTCTCTAGTACTTGGTACTTCCTTTATCAATCCTCTATTCCTTGTCATTTCTTGTAGAGCAATTTAGAATTTTATATTCCTCAACTGGAGCCTGTGTTCTTTTTAAATTACATTGTTTGAAAAGTAGAAGCAAACTTTTAAGTAAAACAAAAACATACCAGAAAGAATTTTGGATCCAACT